TGCCTAGGTCAGGAAGGGGTTCGGAAGAGGGTGGTTCATGTTCTCCGTAATCACTTGGGCACAGTATAGTGTGAGCTGCCTCTTCTGTTTTCACTCCCAAAGGGACCTCAGCCCTGGTCCCAGCCTCTGAATTTGCTCTCCACCCTACAGATTGGTCCTTCCCGATTCCGGGCACCTGAGCTGCTGTTCAGGCCAGACCTGATTGGAGAGGAGAGTGAGGGCATCCACGAGGTGCTGGTGTTTGCCATCCAGAAGTCGGACATGGACTTGCGGCGCACGCTCTTCTCTAACATCGTCCTCTCGGGAGGCTCCACCCTGTTCAAAGGTTGGTCTTTGCTCTCGGCCCATCTCCAGGAAATTTCCAGATCTTGCTGGGCCCAGACGCCCAGAGGATTGACATGAGATTCTCCTGTCTTGCCCATTCAGGTTTTGGTGACAGGCTACTGAGTGAAGTGAAGAAACTGGCTCCGAAAGACGTGAAGATCAGGGTAGGAGCATGGTGGGGGCTGGCGCTGGGGCTGCGTGGAACCGGGGCTCCCCTCCAAGGCTACACAGTTCCCAGATTCCACATTGACCTTGAGGTCTGCCAGCGGGAAGAACCCATTTTCCCTCTCCTTCCCCACAAAAGGGGGCAGTTCTGAGACCCTGATATGGCAGGGTGTTAGGCTAAGGGCCCACGTGTGGTCTGTCAGAGAAACTGTAGCATTGGCAGACTGACTCTTGCTGCTCTCATGACACAGTCCGACATCTTGGTGCCTGTTGAGGGGAGCGAAATGTTGGAGTGTAGTTCCTGCCATGGAGTCTGCTTCCCATCAGCCCCCAGCAAAGCTGGATCTTGGCCCCGGTTAGCACCAGCTTTCCTGGGAGCTGTAGATACTTAGCGCTGCTGGAAATCTGCTTCTCCAGATGAGTGTCAGGTTGGCCACAATACCCCCCAGAGAGCCCACTGGGTCCAGCAGGGGCATAAGTGAAAGCCTGTTGTGTGAGACAACACATCCACTGCCATGGGCAGTGGAATGGGCCGTAAGGATGAGCGTTGGGCAGAAAAAGGACAAGGAGGTTGAAAGTCTCAGATTCCTCTTTCCACCCACCTTTTCAGATATCTGCACCTCAAGAGAGACTGTATTCCACATGGATTGGGTGAGTAGTTCTCCTAGGGAATAAGAGTGTGACAGGAAGTGAGGGCATCATTACCCCTCACCACCCCATCCCTTGAAAGCAGAGCCTCATCTGCTTTGGCCCCACGGGGACTGGCTGGCTCCACGAACACTTCCTCCCTCTCACAACATTCCTTGGGATACCCTCCACTTCAGGGGCTCCATCCTTGCCTCCCTGGACACCTTTAAGAAGATGTGGGTCTCCAAGAAGGAATATGAAGAAGACGGTGCCCGATCTATCCACAGGAAAACCTTCTAATGTTGGGACATCATCTTCACCTCTCTCTGAAGTTAACTCCACTTTAAAACTCGCTTTCTTGAGTCGGAGTGTTTGCGAGGAACTGCCTGTGTGTGTGAGTGTGTGTGTGAGTGCGTGGATACGAGTGTGTGCGCATATGCGAGTGCCGTGTGGCCCAGGGATCCCAGGGCCCAGAAAGGACGATGAACTACCCATGATGGTGATGGCCTGAGGCCTGGGGTTGACCACTAACTGGCCCCCAACAGGGAAGAGTGCTGGCAGAGGGCCACTTCGTCAGCTGGGCCTTTGGCTGGCTGTGTGGGACTATGTTTACTACCATAGGGAGACAGAGAAGGTAAATCCTGGGAGACCTTGCTGCTGCCCATCCCAGGCTGGGCTAGCCCCACCCCGTCCCACCCCCAGGGTGCCCTGAGGCCCAAGGCAGCCGCTGCCTCCCTTGCTGGGCCTTCTGCTCTTGATGCCAATCAATCATGGACTGAGGACTGGGGCCAGGGTTGAGTTCTGTCTGGTTTTGTTGCAATTTGGGTTCGGGAGTCTGGAAAAGCACTCCAGGAGCTGTTACTGAGACTCTGGGGTCAGGAGACGGCAGGGTCCCCTCAACCTCACCTGGGGACCAGTACCACGCTGGGCATTCAAAGAGGCAGGAGTAGTGCTACTTCTGATTGGTGGCAGAGCGAACACCCCAACCCTCAGCCCCTGTCCAGGGGGGTCTCGGGAGAGTTTCAGGAGCCTGTCAGCCCCAGGCCCTGTTACTTGCTTTTCATTCATCCTTGGGCAATGCCATCTTCAGTTTTATTTATTGAAGTGTTTGTTCAGTATGGGACTGGAGAGAGGGAGCTCATCGCCTCCTGCCCACCAGTCACCCTGTTCACACTAATGTTTACAGCACCTCAGTTTAGCATAGCATCCAGGGCCCCGCCATTCCCTGCTAATGGTGAACCGACAGTATCCATAGGCCTCGGGCCTATTTAGGATCAGAGGCTACATTCAGAGTCACTACCGCCAGCCTCTTTTTTCCTCTTCCTTTTGCTCACTGCCCTGGAATCAACAGGCTGGTTGCCGGTTAGATTTTCTGAAACAGGAGGTAGAATTGCTCTTTGGCAGAGGCCCCTAGCAAAGGAGGGGTACTGGGGATCCAGCGCTCTTAGGACTAGAGAAAGAGCTGCAATTAACCAGGTTGCCTTTTCCTACTCTAGCTGACCCAGGGGGGTAGGCTGTAGAGGAGAGAAGGCCCCCCACTGGGTTGATTTGTGCCATTCGTAATTTTGGACTTGTCTAGTTAAGGAGGGAGGGGGCCAGACCAGAGTGCCAGAAACTAATGGGCCTAGGCTCATCTCCTCTCCAGTGGGGCCCGGTGCCTACCCTGGACTGGGCTGGCCTAGCAGTGTCCAAAAAGGCTCCTCAGCCCAGATGTGCAAAGCTGGGGCTAGCAGATCTTCACCGGCACCCTCACCTGTGACACCGAGACCCGCCCCAGTCCCAGATTCCAGGCAGCACTCCCCCCATGCCGTCCAACGACCAAAGGCCCTGCCAGGTATGGGCCACAGCAGCAGGTGTGTGTGAAAGCGATGTGGCGACCCGCAGACTGCAGTGTGCTTAACCAGCTCACCTCCCTTCTCTTAGCCCAAGCCTGTCCCTTGCACAAACCACGTTGCCTGGTGGGGCCCAGTGTACTTAAATAAAGTCGTTCCAATAGACCCGGCAGCTGGGCCTCTGTCTCTTGGTGCTGGGTGGGAAGAGAGGAGCTGCAGGCCCTGAATCTGAGGCAGTGATTGGGCCTCATCTGTCCTCTAGAGGGCACTCTCGTACCAGCAAGACTTACCTAGCTCTCAGCCCAAGTCCCGGCCTGTCAAGTGGATACAGAGAAGATGGTGTTCATGCCAAAAACCCAGGAACTGAGGGTCCCAGCCCTGCACATACACAAAAACCTATGAGTGAGACCACCTCGAATGAGGGGAGCAGCTACTGACATCCCTGAAGTCAGAGGCTCTCAAAGCTTCCACATGGATGAGAAGCTCAGGAACTTACTAAAATATAGTTCCTGGGGCCTACACTCAGATATTCTGACTAATCAGTTCTCCATTTGAAACCTGTATACTTGGGGGGGGGGGGGGG